CCCCTTCCCCCACCTGCCATGGCCTCCCCGCGCTGCTCCCGCCCCTCGGGGTGCCCCTGGCCCCGCTCAGTTTCGGGGGCCCCTCACAGCCATGCCACACCGCCTGGGTCCCTCAAGGGCCTCTCAAGCGCAGTCCTGGCCACTCCCTGAGGCCTGCTCCCCCTGCACCCCGACTCAGAGCCGAGCCCCGGGCGGGGCCTGGGCCTGCAGAGGCGCAGAGGACCCGGCCATGTGGGCCTGGTGAGGAAGGAGGCAGCGGGCGGCCGGCGCCCGAGCCCAGCTTCGGTCTGTCATGACAGGGTCCTGCCGCAGGCGCTGGACCCGGGACCCGGACAGGCGGGTGCATGAGGACACAGTGGGGAGGGTCTGGGAAGAGCCTGGGGCTGCCAGCCCCAGCACAGGAGCAGAGCTGAGCGCTCCCCAGCGCCCGCGGCCTGGCGGGAGGGCCGCCCCCCAGAGTGGGGCCGCACCCCTGCAGCGCTGCGGCTTCTGAAGACCCCGGTCTGGCCCGAGACAAGCCCCCCACACCCGCCAACCCCTGGAAGGGGGAGCTGGAGTTACAAACCCCCCCGCAAGAGTAACCCGAAGCGGGGAGGCAGGAAGGCGGGGTGCGGGGTGGGAGCCCCGTGTGGGTCCCAGCAGTGGTGTAGCGAGCCCCACGCCGCCGAGGGAGCCCAGGGCGTCACCTGCTGCGGGAAGTGGCGGCCACCGGCTTGCTGGCCCAGCGCCCTGACTGGGAAGCCGGTTCAAACCAGTTCTGGTCAGGTAAAACTGGCTCTGACTGGACAGAACCCGTTTACCCCTACAGGACCAGCAGACCAGTGCTGACCAGGTGGACCCGGCTCCAGCCGGTTCTGACCGGATAAAGCTGGTCCGGCTGCCCTGGCCCTGCGCCTGTTCCGTGGGCGGCTGGCTCAGGGGCGACCGAGTTCACGTGTGTCTGACAGAGCCATCGCGGCTCCCAGAGGCTCCAACTTGTTCTAAGAAATTAAAAAGGATCAAAGCAGCAGCTTGAGCCAGTCTGTTCAGGCCTGAGCCTGTGAGTGCCCGTCAGAGCCGCAGGACGCGCCTGAGCTGCTTAGAGCCAGTTAGGGCCGGCCGGCGTGCGCGGCGCGAGTCGGCCTGGCGGCCTGACTGGTCTGAGCTGGTGCCATCTGGTGCCCACCCGGCTCAGCCAGTCGGAGCTGCCCTGGACTGGTTGAATCCGGCTGAGCCGGTTCAAATGGGGCCGTCCAGTCGGGCCTGGGCTGGCCGGGTCCGGAGCGGGCGGCTGAGAACAGGATTGAGGGGTGCGCGCCAGGCCCCTCCTCCGCAGAGCTGCGGGGTCCTTTGGGCCTCGGCGCCTGGCGTAAACCGCCCGCTCGGGACGGGCTTTCTCCTTGCCTGCCCTGGCTTGGGGGAGAAGGCTTGCGGGCTTTCCCACACCGCCTCGTGGCATCTCTTGGCTTTTGTCGTCTCTTTTTCCTGGCCGGATCGAACCGGCTGCAAGTGAAGTGTGGCGAGCCGCGTCCTTCTCCTCCGCCTGGGTCCTGCCGGGAAAGCCGCCGCGCTCCTGTGGACGTGGGTGACACGTGGGTGACGAGCCAGGCGCAGGCCCGACACCGGCGGAGGCAGCGCAGGCCCCGAGGACCCAGCGCAGCGTCCGGGTCCTTGGCGACACTGGCGGAGTCTGCGTGCAGGCAGGTCGCGCACTGCCAGCTTACGTCTAAAGCTTTTTGAAAGGTGTGTTGGCTTATGCATGCAGACCCGGGGCGCAGGCCAGAGGTGTGGGGGAGCTGAGAGGACAGGGCGGGGAGCAGAACGGGCGGATGGCCGAAGCCCACTGCTGGGGGAGCAGCGGGCGGTCAGGAGAGGGCCCCCGGGGCCCGGCCCAGCGCTGGCCCTCACCGCCGCCCGGGGCCTATCGCTAAGTATTTTAACCACCTTTTTCACTTTGAGATTCAGACTTTATGGTGATACAAAAAGAACGGTTTTCTCTCTTTTAGCAATCAAACCACGGTCAACACAAGTTACCGCCCCAAATTTCACTTGTCGTACCGGAAGTTACCCGCAAAGGGCTTCAGTTTGCGGCTCCGTAGGGAGGACGCTCACCGCCGACAGCCCGGAGGTGCGCGGAGCGCGCCGGCTTCCCTGGCCAGGGCCGGTGCGCGCTTCTGTTTTAAAGGTTTATTTCCGCACGCACACAAGAGCTGGGGCGCAGGCCAGAGGTGTGGGGTGAGGGGGCTCCCGAGACAGCGTGGGGAGCAGAGCGGCCAGATCCGCTGAAGCCCACTACCGGGGGCGGCGGGGGGCGGCGGGGTCTTGGGCCGCGCCCTGGGGCCCCCCTGGCCGGGACTGTGCTCAGCTCTCTGGTTTGACGGGGTGAGAGGGGGCCAGCAGCCGGAGAATGCGGGCAGTTTCCAGACGGACGGCTGAGGAAGCGGACCCTTCCGGGGTCTCCAGAGGTACACGCGCCCCCACACCCAGCTTTCCGGGCAGCGGCGCACCCACAGGGCTGCGAGCGGAAACTCCTGCTCCTTGCGGTTACTCTGGCAGCCAGGCGTCGCCTGCGGCCGTGGCTCGGGCACCCACACAGTCCTTTGCTGGCCCCTTACTCGGCCGCTTGCACTACCCAGGCGGAGGGGTCACGGCCTCGCTCACAGGCGGGCGCGGGGCGCAGCCAGCTAGCAGCGGGGGGCGAGACCCCAGAGCCGGCGTCTTCAGCTCCCTTTGAGGTGCGTAAAAGGAGTCTGGTATTCCTTTTCTAAAGCATAAAACACACCGTTTCTGCTTCTGGCTCCCGGTGAAATGTGAAGCTGATGAGCGTGAAGGAACCGGCTCCTTCGGGTCCGAGCGCATCTGGGAGCTGCGGCCCCAGGACCGTAGCGGGGATCGCCGTTTTCTGACATCTGGAGAAACCGCGCTGGTGCCTGGGGACGGGGGCCGAGGCCCTGCCTGTCCCCGCTGCCCCCCAGCACCCCGCGCCCGGCCCCAGGACGCGCCTCTCGTCCCTGGGAGGCCGCCTGGCCCGTGCGCTCCTCCTGTTCTCCCACGTTTGGGGCGTGGCCGGCACCCCCTCATCTTCCCAGCCTGGACTCCCTCAAGGCCGCCTGGTCATCACATTCCTTAGGGGCCGGGCGGGCGCCTCCCTCTCTCCGGCCTGGGTGTCCCCGCCCCACCCGACAGTTCAGCTGGGGTGACGGGTTCAGCCGCCTCCTTGATGGGGGGCCGCCCCACAGCCTGGCGCACACGGGCCGGCCGGCCGGTCCTCAGCTCTGGGCTCGGGCCGCGGCCAGCCCTAGCCAGGGTGTCTGCGGCCTCAGTGGCCTGTGCCGGCCCCGGCTCCAGGCCCAGGCGCGGGGCTGACGCCCGGGGCAGGCTCAGCCCCAGCACCCGTTTCTGAGCATGTGGACCCCGGCTCTGCGCCTCCGCCACTGTGGGCCGGCCGGGCGGGGCTGCTGCGTCGGGATCTTGGGGTGCCTGAGCCACCCCCCCACCTACAAGGGGTGGCTTGGGGTCACCACTGCTGCCCGCGGTGCGCTGCTTGGAGGCCCAGCACTGGACGAGCACGGTGATCGCTCCCGGCAGGCAGGGCGGCCTGGCTGGGCGCCTGGCCCCCCACCTGTCTGCTGGGGCTCTGCCCCAGTGGGTCAGCGCCGGTCACTCAGCTTCTGTGGGCTCCACCGCGGGGCGCCGCTGCACCCTGCGCCCCTTTGGGGCACGCGGGGCCGGGCTGGGCCACTCCCCTGCCTGATGGCATCTCAGCGGTCCCGGACCCTGCCAACAGCCCGGGGCTGAGCCGGGCATGGCCTCTGCCCTGCGGCCTGGCCCCGGGACGCGGTGGCCTCGGAGCCCAAGTCCCCAGGACCCAGCCCTTCCTCGAGAACCTGCCGCTGGCCGGCGAGGACAGGGGCGGGCGCCGGGTCCCGCAACCCCCAGGTCCCCGCGAGCCCCGGAAGGGCCCCTGGGAAGGCTGCTCCTCGGGCAGCGCCTCGGGCCG